GTGTTGTATATTTAGAAGGCTTGTTGATTTTTTATCTTTTATTTTGTTTAATTAAAAGAAAATCAGCAGCCTTGTGTGCCTGTGTTTTAGTGAATGACTCCATATTAAATAGAAAGAAATCTATCAAATCAAGTTTCATTCTAGCACTCAACTTATCCACTTTTATCTATTGCAATCATAACACTATATCAATGAATTAGAACAGGAGGCCAAAAGTAATACATGCAAGTTTTCTGGTCTTACAAAGATAGAAGAAAAGTCAAGCAGAATGATGTACATTTCAAGGCTGGAAAGAGCTACACACCAATGAATTGTTTTATGGAAATAATTGGTGAGCATACCATGCAATACGTGGAATTATCCACATTGGCAGGAATAATGGTGAAGTAAATATTTTAAGATGGTGAGAAATGAGCAGAATGGTAGTATTCAAGGCAATACCACAAACAATTGGGAAAGGAAATAATATCCTGCTGAGCCTCTTTTATTAAATCACTAACTGCAGTTGATAAATGAATGAGTTTAAGAATTTACAATATCTAAGATTCTCTAACTCAATATTTCTATGGCAATCCATTTAGACATCTATAAACTCGGATGCTGATTAAATTGGCCTCTAATGCTAGCTGAATCAAACCATATGAAAATGAAGAATTCTTTTGACATACAGCTAAGCACCTAAAGCAACACCTAGACTCAAAATCTCCGCATGCTTGATTTTTTTTTAAAAAAAAAGAATTCGCTCATAGGATGTGGGTGCCACTGGTCATGGTCATTTATTGCCCATCCTTAATTACCGAGAGGACAGTTAAGAGTCAACCACATTGCTGTAGGCCAGGTCAGGTAAGGATGACAGATTTACATCCCTATAAAAGAGCATTAGTGAACCAGATGGCATTTGGCTTGCTCTTTACTACAGGTTTTATTCAATTCAAATTTCACCATCTGAAATATAAACATATTCTTATATGACCCGGGGTCTGGATTACTGGTCCTGCGACATCACATCACTACTTCCCAAACATTCGAAACCCTCTATAAGATAATACATCTAACCTCTCAAAACCAAAAAGAAGCTCACCTGTCACTTTGTCTTTATTGGTAAAAATGGCTCCTTGTTCCACAATAAATCCTTGTCATCATCTTTAAAATCTCTCTAGTAAGTTGCCCAACCCTGAACCTGCAACCACACAGCCTTACATCCTCATGCCATATCAACTGGTCCTTAGCTCATAAATCATGCAATCTCAGTTTCATTCTGGAACTCATCTATGTCTCCAACTCAAAAAAACCTTCTTTAATTGAGATGTACAGCATGGAAACAGACCTTTTGGGCCAACTTGTCCATGCTGACCAGATATCCTAAATTAATCTAGTCCCATTTTTGCCAGCATTTGGCCCATATATCTCAAAACATTTCCTATTCATATGCCCATCCTGATGCCTTTTAAATGATCTAATTGTACCAGCCCCTACCACTTCCTCCGGCGGCTTATTCCATACATGCACAACCCTCTATGTGAAGAGGTGGCCCCTTAGGTTTCTTTTAAATCTTTCCCCTCTCACCTTAAATCTATGTCCTCTAGTTTCTGACTCCCCCGCCCAGGGCAAAAGACCTTGGTTATTCACCCTATCCATTTTTGATTAAACATTTTCATCTCTTCAGACCTACTATTGCTTCCCCAAAATATCATAGACATACATGTTGTAAACAGGTGTTAAAACTTTTTTTTTAAAAGATTAAAAGGCAGAGTATATTTTGTGCCTTTCAACCGTCACCATATACAATCCAATAATTTACAGGCAAGATCCATGGTCATTGTCCAATCATTTTGAGAACGTTAAGAAAATTATAAGTCTATGCTTTATATAAATGCTACCTGTAAGTGGGGCAAAGTGTCACAGGTACAAATGGAAAGCTACAGATCATCTCAAACGAGATCTTGCAAGATGTGCATGTTTAGAAAACTTCAAATTTTAAACTAAAAAAACTAATGCATTTCATTTCAAGTTCATTCTGCCCATCACTAAACAAAACAGGGGCTGATGCCAGCCTTTCCCCAACCCCTAATAACAGGGGCTAGCTTCTGGTGTCAGCCTCTCCCCATATTCACTCACAGCACCGGTCTTTGTCCCCATACCCACAAGGGGAGGAGGAAAAGCTCTGCATCATCAGCTCCAACCTCTCCGAACCAGTCATCAGTGAATACATCCACTGATTTTAATGTAATTCAGCCCAAAGTGCAGAGATATCACTGGCACCTATGATCTGTCAGCTAGCATGACAGGACACGTGTGGGGGGCCATTACTGTCACACCTCACTGCAATATTGCACTGGAAATCAAGCCCCACTATTCCCAGCATTGTCACATAATTAATTCTAAAACGTATGCAAATATTCCTCAATTTACCAGACTGACAAAAAAAGCACAGACCAGGTTTCTGTACTTAAAAACGATTATTCATCACAAATAATTAGACTCATGCTACAGGTAAAACAGTTATGAACTGACTGCATGTAATTCTGATAATTAAAACTCTAATGTCCTTATAAACTATCCTTTAACCGGAGACACAAACACACAAGGGGAAAAAAAAATGGGTATTATGGACTGAAGGAAAGACTAGAAAGGTAGTTAAACGGCTCTTGAGATGATTCTTATGCTGATCAAAATGCTGCTTCCCAGTCGTTCTCCAGAAATTCCATTGTTTTGCATGAATAGAGTGGCTGGTTCACCATTATAAAAGGTGACTGACTTATCAGTTTTAAAAAAAATCATTGCTTCAATAGTTTTTGTAAGCTAAGATAAATTTTTTTTTCCCAGACTTAAAATGGCTTTTACTGCAGAGAACAGAGACAGAGACAGCTCCTGAGCTGGTGATGACTTCTCCAAATCTTCTTCACAAGCCCAAACTGTTCAGCTCCCTGAGAATCAGTCACAAAGTTGCTAGCAAGAAGAAGGCCATCGTCACTATTAACTGGTTACCGGTTCAAGACCAATTAGCTACTCGTACCAATCAAAGTTCCATCTGAACACAAACCTTTGGTTCTAGTTCATCTGTAACCAAACTTGAACCACTGCTCAAACAAGCAGCACTTACAATGAGCATCAGGTTACTTGTTTTTAAAACATTGCAGCAATCCCCTTTTCAAAAAAAAAAGCATAGTTCGTTTGGCATTGTATCTACAATTAGAACATAGAACATTACAGCGCAGTACAGGCCCTTCAGCCCTCGATGTTGCGCCGACCTGTGAAAGCAATCTGAAGCCCATCTAACCTACACTATTCCATTATCATCCATTTTTATCCAATGACCATTTAAATGCCCTTAAAGTTGGCGAGTCTACTACTGTTGCAGGCAGGGCATTCCACGCCCTTACTGCTCTCCGAGTAAAGAACCTACCTCTGACATCTGTCCTATATCTATCACCCCTCAATTTAAAGCTATGTCCCCTCGTGCTAGCCATCACCATCCGAGGAAAAAGGCTCTCACTGTCCACCCTATCTAACCCTCTGATCATCTTGTATGTCTCTATCAAGTCAGCTCTTAACCTTCTTCTCTCTAACGAAAACAGCCTCAAGTCCCTCAGCCTTTCCTCATAAGACCTTCCCTCCATACCAGGCAACATCCTGGTAAATCTCCTCTGCACCCTTTCCAATGCTTCCACATCCTTCCTATAATGCGGTGACCAGAACTGTACGCAATACTCCAAGTGCAGCCGCACCAGAGTTTTGTGCAGCTGCAACATGACCTCATGGCTCCGAAACTCAATCCCTCTACCAATAAAACCTAACACACCGTACGCCTTCTTAACAACCCTATCAACCTGGGTGGCAACTTTCAGGGATCTATGCACATGGACGCGAGATCTCTCTGCTCATCAACACTATCAAGAATCTTACCATTAGCCCAGTACTCTGCATTCCTGTTACTCCTTCCAAAGTGAATCACCTCACACTTTTCCGCATTAAACTCCATTTGCCACCTCTCAGCCCAGCTCTGCAGCTTATCTATGTCCCTCTGTAACCTGCAACATCCTTCCGCACTATCCACAACTCCACCGACTTTAGTGTCATCCGCAAATTTACTAACCCATTCTTCTACGCCCTCATCCAGATCATTTATAAAAATGACAAACAGCAGTGGCCCCAAAACAGATCCTTGCAGTACACCACTAGTAACTGAACTCCAGGATGAGCATTTCCCATCAACCACCACCCTCTGTCTTCTTACAGTTAGACAATTTCTGATCCAAGCCGCTAAATCACCCTCAATCCCATGCCTCCGTATTTTCTGCAATAGCCTACCGTGGGGAACCTTATCAAACGCTTTACTGAAATCCATATACACCACATCAACCGCTTTACCCTCATCCACCTGTTTGGTCACCTTCTCAAGGAACTCAATAAGGTTTTGTAAGGCACAAAACTGTGTTGACTATCCCTAATCAAATTATTCCTTTCTAGATGATTATAAATCCTATCTCTTATAATCCTTTCCAACACTTTACCCACAACCGAAGTAAGGCTCACTGGTCTATAATTACCAGGGTTGTCTCTACTCCCCTTCTTGAACAAGGGGACAACATTTGCTATCCTCCAGTCTTCTGGCACAATTCCTGTAGACAATGATGACATAAAGATCAAAGCCAAAGGCTCTGCAATCTCCTCCCTAGCTTCCCAGAGAATCCTAGGATAAATCCCATCCGGCCCAGGGGACTTATCTATTTTCACACTTTCCAGAATTGCTAACACCTCCTCCTTATGAACCTCAATCCCGTCTAGTCTAATAGCCTGTATCTCAGTATTCTCCTCGACAACATTGTCTTTCTCCTGTGTGAATACTGACGACAAATATTCATTTAGCGCCTCTCCTATCTCTTCGGACTCCACGCACAACTTCCCACTACTGTCCTTCACTGGCCCTAATCTCACTGTAGTCATTCTTTTATTCCTGACATACCTATAGACAGCTTTAGGGTTTTCCTTGATCCTACCTGCTAAAGGCTTCTCATGTCCCCTCCTGGCTCTTCTTAGCTCTCTCTTCAGGTCCTTCCTGGTTAACTTGTAACTCTCAAGCACCTAACTGAGCCTTCACGCCTCATCTCTACATCCGGTTTTTCATCCCAACAGCTGCAACGGTTTTCTCACTCAATGGTGGATGGATCCATCTTGATGCTAGAAGCCTTATTCCCACAGGGAAGTCCAGCCCGACAACTTTCAAAACAATTTCAAATTGTTAACTAGCTTAAATTGAAAATACAGAAAAATAAAGAAGCTGGTCTTTACATTACAATTATCCATGCAAATTACAAATGACAGCCCACATGTAGTACAGTCATCTAACAAAGCAGTTAACGCTGGAAAATCCTGGGTGTTCAGGCAAAGTCAGAGCCCACATTAGAGAATAAATGCAGTAAAAACATTTCAGCTCGAAATGTATCATTTCCTTTTTGCAAAATCCTCCACAACACAGATGAATGTTTCCTTACTATATTGTACCTTGTTTTTTTAAGAAAAGGTACAGCTGCCAAGAATTAAGGAACTTCACAGAATCCTTTACAGTGTGGAAGCAGGCCATTTGGCCCTTCGAGTCCACACTGACCCTCCAAAGAGCATCCCACTCACCTACCCTATCCCTGTAACCCTACATTTCCCATGCCTAATCCACTTAACCCACACATCTTTTGGACTGTGGGAGGGAACCAGAGCACCCAGCAGAAACCCATGCTGACATGGGGAGAACATGCAAAATCCACACAGACAGTTGCCCGAGGACGGAACTAAATCCAGATCCCTGGCACTTTGAGGCAGCAGTGCTGACCACTAGGCCACCATGCTGACTTGTTTGTCAGAACAGCAGAACATAAATTTTTACCTACCTACAGAGGCTACTATTTTGGAACAAGGAGAGAAGCACTATTTAATGAAAGAAACTGGCAAATGTCTCATACAATGAAAGTGAAATATTGCAGATGCAGGAAATCTGAAACAAAAGCAAAGTACTGGTGAAACTCAACAGGTCTGGCAGTCTCTATGAAGACAGAAGTAGAACTAACATTTTGAGTCCTTCATAACTTCTTCAGATCTGGGTTTTTCCAGCACTTTTTCATTTTCATGGCTCTTCAACTGTTTACAATATCAAGTTATAAATTCACCATATAATAGTGATGATAATCTTTGATTTTATTCAGCATCCCAAATAACTTGCCAAGCATTTTCTTAAAGCCAGCGAATGTCTTTTTTTTAAAACGTATGCTAATTCAAGTTAATTAGATACTATCATAAGTGTTAATTTGTTAAATCTTCCCATGGCACTCTCAGCTGTTGCTCCCAACATGACATACATTTAAACAGCACCAACATCAAATATTCAAATTAGATTATCTGTTGAGAGGTTCCAGGTTGGATTTACTTCTTGTTTCCCTTTATTAGCAATTAACTAACAAACATATGTGGAGTTAACATTTTAACATTTGGTTTATGCCATTTGGAACCGAGTTATATAGCTCTACCTCGGGGCTCCTGCAGCGCAATAGTAGCGTACCCTACCCTTGAGCCAAAGCCCTGAGTTCAAATTCCGCTTGAGGTGCATCCTAACACGTCTGAACAGAATGATCAACAATATCCATAATTCTGATATGGAAAGAAATGGACTTACCTTAACGATTGAGGATTTAAGAAATCGATTTCATTTTTCAAGGGAGTTCGAGAAGGCAGGGCTAGGTTTATGAGGAATGTATTTCTGGCTGCTGAAATACAAGTTGTGCATGGCCCGTTCTCCTGGAGGTTGGATATCGCGGAGACATCGCTAGCCCCGAGGCTCGACTGCGCCAGTACAACGTTCAGACTCTCTCACTCAGCAAGAGCCGGGTTATAATGTACCAACCAACAACAACTGTATCGCTTTCGCCTGCTACCCGACTTCATTGCCGACCAGCTCGCTCCTTCCCCTCAAATGCACAAGTTATTTTTTTCTCTCTCTCTCTCTGGTATATTTAACCACTTTCCAGCCCAGCAGTCTCCAACTCCTGCATCCTTCAACACATTTTCCCCACCTACACCGTCCATTTTACGGCAAAGCTGTAAAGTTTCCCGAAAAAAAACAAAGGCTCCGCTCCCCCTCCAAATATTGTCGCAAAGAGACACCGAGGGCGGACCCAGAACTTTGATTGACAGCGCTGACATTTCTGTAAGATTCAGTCGCAGAGTCGTTTGTTAGTTTAGAACTTGAATGTTGCTGAAAAATAGATACATTTAAGCTTCGACAAAATGTGCCTATTTTTCAGTAATACTCAAGTCACCGATTTCCTTTCGTGCTGTGGATTTATTGAACACTTTAGACTGCGATGAAAACCAGACTGCAGTGGTTTTTGGCACAGTATATTCCACACTCGATCGTGGAACCGGTTTTGTTTTGTCGAAATGGCATCTCTTCGCACGTCCTATGATACTTGGGAAATGAATGTACTAGTCCTACTGGAGCTCTATTATACAGGGTGGGTCAGACCAGTATGTGTCAGAAGTTTTATTGGGTTTTCCTTTTGGCATTTGCCAGATTTCCTTTGTGTTTTTACCTCCCCTCGCGCCCGCCAATCTGTAACCATTTACACACCATCAGAACACATTTAAAAAATATATTTTGTCATGTAGTCTCCGCACCACACCCGTTTCCCCTGATCACTTCTTGCTCATGTAATCGTTACAGTACAGCAGTGTTTATGGCTACTTCAGAAATTTTCTGTTGTCGGCAATGATACTTTAGCACCTTCTGAGAAATGATCTGGATTAATTGTTGGGGCTTTACAAGGATTCAAAGGAACAACTTGTATTCATGTAGCGAGTTTATAGCACGGTAAAACGCCCTGAGCTTATCACAGGAGTTTGAGTTTTGCTGAAAAGAAACACATCTTGTGAAAGGTCTTCATCTCTACCAATGAGCTTGCCGAACTTATTAAAATATTGTTCTCCTTTGTATTAGTAATCTGGGGAATTTTGAGGAGTGAAAGATGGAAAGCTTCAACAAAAAATGTATTTTTCAGTAATTCTCAATTCTGTACTACTAAACAACTAATAAGGAGATTTTAGTATCATAAAAATAGTTACAACACAGAGGGAAGTTAGTCCTACTTCCCTGGGAGGACAAAGAGGACTCCTTGGCAGATGCATTGTTTCAACCTGCCCTGCCCAACAGAAGCTATGCTGAAATGTGCCTTCATAAAGGAAGTGTGGAGAAAAATGCTGTTTCCCGGGATGCACACTGAGACAAATATGGACTGCAACTGAATGACCATCTTGGTCTGGCTGAAATTTGTTGGTCTTCCAGAGCAAGGAGTTGACCTCGACTGAGTGTTGCAGACTGGCACATTCCAAGGTGCAGGATTACATGCTGAGAGATGCATTAAAGCTTGGGGCAGCTACTGCTAAGGTGCAGTGGGAAAAGACAACCATCTAAGGTCTTTCTGCCAAAGTTAAATGGGGGTCTGTTCAGTTATCGGACCCTTCTGATGCCTCAAATATGTGTACATACAATCTTGTACAAGTAAAAAATGCCTTTGATTTGTTTGCTGGATAGAGTCAAATTCCAATGTTTGTTTGTTTCTTCATATGCTACTGTACAATACCAAACTGCTTTAGTGACTATGTATGTATGTTTTCTCTCCCTGTTGTTTTCTCCCCATTTGTCCAGTCTTATTCCTGATTCTTCTGATATCTTACATCAATACAATACAATATAGAACAGCATAGAAATAGGCCCTTCAGCCCACCAAGACTACACTGATTTCTAATCCTTATTTAGGCCCACTTCTTATTGCTCAAATATAGTTTCTATCCCTCTGTTCGCCTTCTATTCATGTGTCCATCAAGATATGCTTTAAACGTTGCTAATGTGCCTGCTTCCATCACCTCCACGAGCAGCGCATTCAGGCACCCAACACCCTCTGTGTGAAAAATTTTCCCCTGCACTTCTTCCCCAAACTTCCCCCCCTCTCACCTTGAACCTGTGCCCTCTTGTAACTTCCCTTTCCACCCTGCAAAAAAGCCTCTGACTATCCACCCTTTCTGAGCCTCTCATAATTTTATAGGTAGCCCCTCATCCTCCATCTTTCCAATGAAAACAATCAGAGTTTATCCAACCTCTCATCATAACTAAAACTGTCCAGACCAGGCAACATCCTGGTCTCCAAAGCATCCACATATTTCTGGTAGTGTGGCAACTAGAACTGCATTCCAAATGTGGTCTAACTACAGTTTTGTACAGCTGAAACATAACTTGCCAACTTTTATATTTGATGCTCTGGCTGATGGAAGCAAGCGTGCTGCATCCACCTTATCCACCTGTGTTGCTACTTCCAGGGATCTGTGGACCTGTACACCCAGATTCCTCTGTCAATGCTCACAAAGGTTCTGCCATGTATGTATAATTTGCACCTGAATTTGATCTTCCAAAAAGCATTTGTCTGGATTAAATTCTATCTGTCATTTCTCTGCACAAATCTGCAATCTATCTATATCCCACTGTATCCTTTGACAATCCTCCTCACTATCTGCAACTTCACCAACTTTGGTGCCATCTGCAAACTTACTAATTAGACCACCTACATTTTCCTCCATATCATTTGTATATATTACAGATAACATGGGTCCTAGCACTGATCCCCACGAGTTACTGATCTCAATTCAGTAAAGCACTCTTCAACCACTATTCTCTGTCTTCTGTGACTGAGCCAGTTCTGTATCCAGCACATTGCAGATTCCATGAGACTCTTATCTTTTGTACCAGCCTGCCCTACCTTATCAAATACCCTACTAGAGTCCTTGCAGACAATACCACCGCTCTTCCCTCATCAATCATTCTTGTCACCTCCTGAAAAAATTTAGTTGGTGAGGCATGAACTTTCCCGCACAAACCTGTGCTGCCTAGCACTAGCTGGCTGAGATTTTCCAACAATTTTTGCTTTTGTTTCATTTTTCCAGCGTCCACAGTTCTTTCAGATTTTTTCTCCTTCACTTCATCTCATTTTCTCCGAGTCAAAGGTGTAGCCATTGATATTCACATGGGTCCCATCTATGCCTTTCTTTTTGTGGGGTATGTGAAACATTCCTTTTTCCAGGCCTCCATGGCTGCCACCTACAACTCTTTCTCTGGTACATCGATGATGTCTTCAGTGCTTCTACCTGCTCTCATTGGAAAATTTCATTAGTTTTGCTTCCACTTTCCATCCTTTTCTCACCGTCACTGGGTCCATCTTTGACTCTTCCCTTCCTTGATTTAACCGTTTTGATTTTAAGGATAAGTTTTCTCCCAAAATCCGTTGCATGCCTGCTAACTCCCAGAGTTATTTCAACTACATTTCCTCACACCCTGCTTCCTATAGGATTCCATTCTATTCTCCAGTTTCTTCATCTCCATAACATCTATTCTTATGATACTACTTTCCACGGGGCTGTCTCTGACATGACTTCCTTTTTCCTTAAACAAGGATTCACTCCCATTGTGATTGACAGGGCCTTTAGCTGTGTCCAACCCATCTATCACACTTCTGCGCTCACCTCTTCCTCGCCATTCTAGAACAACAATAGCACTCTTCTTGTCCTTATTACCCACCCCACTTTTCTTAGCAATCAAAAATCATCCTTTGTTTCTGTCCCCTCCGGCAGGATGCCACTGACAAACTTATCTTCCTCTCTCATCCATTGTAAGCATTCCGCTGTGACACTCTTGTCCACTCCTCCATCACTCTTAACAGTTCCTCACTGCCGTATGAAACTTTCCCATGCAATCGCAGAAGTCTAACACTAGCCCATTCATCTCCTCCCTTTTTATTGTACAAGGCCCCAAACACTTCTTCCAGGTGAAGCAGCATTTCACTTGCACTTCTTTCAATCTAGTTTACTGAATTCACTGCTCACAATGTGGTCTCCTTTACATGGCCAAGACCAAACACAGACTAGGTGGCTGCTTTGCAGAACACTTCTACTCTGTAGGAATGGCCATGACCTCCCATTTGCTTGCCATCTCAATGAACCATCTTGCTTTCATGCTAACATTTCTGTCCTGGACCTGCCAGAAATTTCCAACGGAGCACAATGCAAGCTCGAGGAATAAGACCTTACTTTCCACATAGGCACTTTACAACTGCAAGGTCTCAATATTGAATTCCTTAATTTTAGAAACTGATCACATTGTCATTCTCCATTTTTTTTACATTTTCTCCTCTGCATCCCCTCCACAGCCTTGTTTGTGTCTTGTTTACTTTGCCCTTAGTAGAGAGGGCCCATTTTCTCCCTTTCACATCTTAATATACTCCCATTTTACATCTATTTTTCTCTTTCTCCACCATAAGCCAACCCGTAACCTTTTGCACTGGGCATCTGCCTCCCTGGAGGGAGAAATCAGAAGCACTGGACCAGAACAAATGAAGTGTATTCTGGTATTTGGAACATTTTCCAACACCTTTCAGTTCTGAAGAGATTTATAATGGACTTGAAACATTAATTTTGTTGCTCTTTCCAGAAGTACTGCCAGAACTGCTGACTTTTTCCACCATTCTCTGTGCTTGTCCCACTTTCTTCACCTTATTCCTTCAACTGGATTTAAGGTCAATATTTGTAATAGGTAGGGCATTGTGCATACGTGCACAGAATCAGAGCACTTCAATGTTACGTCAGGAGGAAGTAAGGGGAAGAGGAGCAATTGATTGAACAGACACTAAATGTGGGTGCTTGACAGTTGTTGAATGTGGTCCTGACTAAGTAAGAGAGAGAGTATAAACGGGATGGGTGCAATTGTGTGTGTCTTCTCTGATCATGAACTATTATGCTGACACTTCTATGCATTGGGTTTGCATGCTGTATTTGCATTGCAGGATGCGACAGCAATGAGCATTGTAAGGCCGCAGTGTGGACACTTTGTGTTCAACAACAGGCACCCAGTTCATAAGTTCTGAAGAAGGGTCACTCAACCCAAAACATTAACTCTGATTTCTCTCCACAGACGCCGCCAGACCTGCTGAGCTTTTCCAACATTTTCTGTTTTTGTTTCCGATTTACAGTATCCACAGTTCTTTTGGTTTTTACCCT